AGCCGACACTGGGCAGTTTTACGTAATTGAATAAATAGAGTTGTTTAAACATTTGTTTGACAACAAGTAGAAGCTTGGAATGGTCTATTCTTTCATTGAGGGAGGGGATGTCAGTGAGCCAGACTAGTTCGGAGAATTCCACTCTTCATCAGTGACCATGGCTTACCAAGGTTACTAAACAAGTGTAAAAGAGTCTCTAGATGCTCCATTAACGGTTACAGAAACAATTGCTGCTTGCCAATCATTAGCAAAAGACAAGTCACCTGGAACTGATGGCATAACGATTGAGTGATTATTAAAATTTTGGCCTGAAATTTACTAGAAGTTTTTGATGAATCTCTAGAGACAGGGGAATGTTCTAGAAGTATGAAAAAAGCAATAATAAAGTTAATACCTAAAAAAAGGGAGATTCGACAGAATTATAACATTGGCGACCAGTATTACTTTTATGTGGTAATTATAAAGTACTTTCGAAAGCCGTAACAAACAGAATGAAACTTGTTATGAGTCAATTGATTCATGAGAGTCAGACTTACTCTGTTCCAGATCGATGTATTTTTGATAATATACATGTTATGCGTGATATAATAAATCTCGCCAATCAAAATAATGAACGTTTTGCTATTGTAAGTTTGGATCTTGAAAAAGCCCTAACTGCATAAATAATAATTACTTAAAAAAGATACTTAGAAAATTTGGTTTTGGTGGGAATATTGTAAAAGTGGTAGAGGCAATGTATAAAAATACTGTTACGTCTCCGTTCGTTAATTGATTTTCCGTAACTTCGTTCCGACGAAACTTTAGCGACACAAGTCCTTTTTTAAATAAAACTGGTTTATTCTTTCCGAATACAACTTTACGATACACTCAACTTCAACAGTCCGCTATACAAACTATAATTCACGTCTCACGAGCTCGACTTCAACAATACATCTCTCTCTGACTGCAGTTCAATTACTCATTACCTACACACACTGTCCCAGTCACGTTGTGACCATCTTATATATACCGGACTACCCCAATCTAGCTAGTGTCACGCCACGTTTTCTAGAAATATCCTGTTCCTTCGTGAATGCCCTAGCATTTATCACGTGACCTCGCTGACGCAACAATATGTTAATGTAACCATATGCGTGTCAAAATTCATACAAATGCTCAAAATGGCAAGGCTTAGGGTAAAAACACAGACTCAAAATTGTTCAACAGTATAAGTTGTGCTTTGAACTTCCTGCTGACCCCCAATCTAAATGAATGTTATTCATACTTTCAGAATTGACATTGATATATCAAAAGTATTTATGAGAAGGATATGTTTTTTGTTTTTAATTCTGAGATTTTGGTATTTTAAAAGTTGCTGAAATTTACAAAATACAAAAAAGTAAATATATATTGCATTACAAGAATTTATGGACAAAAATATTGTAATGTATAGAATCCTCATACGCTGAAGACTTAAGTAAGCTAGGTAACTGGGGACACTACAGTACAACATGCCTGTCAGTCTTACCATGCTGTGTAAAAAGTAATTAAAACTTGGTAACATCGGAATGAACCGGTTTAACTTCTAACTAACATCAGTTCATAGCGTTTCCTCATAGAGCAATTGGTATAGTTTAATGCTAATCCTCCTTTTGTATCAGTTATTTAACTGTAACCCAGAAAAGATTTTTTTAAGTAATGTTTTGGTACCCCACACATTTTATCCCTCCCAGTTTTGTATCCAGAATAAGTAGAGAAAGTATTGTTATTTCTTTATCATCAGGACTTCAGAAGGAATGATTGATTAACCTTTTAGCATCATTAGTACTCCAAGTATTTAATATATTTAATTAAATTATGACAGGTACTACAGTGTGCAATTATTGTTGCATAAATCTGGGTCTTAAGTTAACAAAAAAAGAATGTAAAATAAATATTTTATTAATGGGTAGTTTATGTGAAATCAGACACACAACAGATCTGTTTTTGTGGAAACTATGAAATAGCAAAACAAATAGGATAATTGGTTTTTGTTGAATTTCAAAAAGTGGAAAAGGGGTAATCGAAAGTTTGATTGTAGAAATAATTTTTATGTGTTTATCCATCAGTTTTTTTTTTCCAAATGTGACACGTGTTGGTAACATGAAATGTGTTTGAAGTGTTTGATATCATCTTTTCCAATTCTTGTACTTTATGCCTGATGTAATAGATGTCTTACCTCATGTAATATTTGGCCAAATATGAATGAAGTTGCCAAAAGGTGGAGCTCTTAGCCATGGTTAATTATAGATTATTTGTTTAAACTATAGGTCTACAGATATAGATAATGCTTTAAGGTCAATAATATCATTCAACAACAACAAACATGTAAATATATATTGTTAAGAAAAAGTTAATATTGTATTGTGTCTAACTCTTATCTAGTAAGCTGTTCTTGACTACAATGTTAAAGCTATTTTCAACCATAAACTTGTTGAAATTCTGAAAATTTGCAGCATCTAATAGTCTTTTGGATTATTGTACTTTCTGGGCCAAGTAAGGCACTCTCCAACCCAGACTGATGGGTTTATTGACTTTATACACCGTTACTGTGGTCATGTTGATGATTCTAATTTACATCACTTGCCAGGCTTGGTCTAAACTGGTGAACCAGTTCTCTTTGTTAATGTTTCCTTGAAACTTTACAGATATTTCACCAACTGTGAAGCAGAATGACGAGTAAGAAAATTAAACTATCTTGTTTTTTCTACGTGCATGTTTTCAGTGGTAGCACTTTTTCTACCATTTGGATTTCTCCATAATCCTAAATATCAAACTTGCCAATTAAAAGTGCTAAGTATTTCACAGTCAAAGTCCTACTTAACTAGTTGTTTGTGCCAAGAGAATAGTTTTTTTTGTTTTTTTACCAATATAAAAGCATATGCCAAAGAATTTAAATTTACAAAATGTTTTATATTCAACTTATTAATATACACAAATTAATTACTTTAAATTTTCTAATAATATCTTTCTCACCACTTAATAAATTACCCAGTGAAAGCAATTTAATTCACACAACTAAAAGAGCCTCGTACCAGCTTGTGTATGTAAGAAAGGTTTATATGTTCACACCAACAAATCAATAGTGTTAGCCAGCAATGAAGAATTATGTAAAAATACATCAAAGAAAAAAAAAGTGTCAATTCTGTTCACTCTTGGCAACAGCATAGCTAAGAAGCAATATTTGATAATTTTTCACCAATTATTATTATCAGTACCTAAATAATTATGTATACAATTCTTGGTTGAGAAGATATAAAACTGAATATATTTTAAGACTACTTGGATAAAGCACTAAATCACACTTAACTGTTTTACACAAATAACGTGAACATACATACATTTAACGAAAGGCTTTGAATATCTTTATATTGTGTATGTTCACCAATAAATTTTCCTGTTTGTTTTGTACTTAGTAAAAAAATTTTATGTTTGTTATTTAAATACTGTTGTTGTCTGTTGGTTTTATATTAATAAGTTATGTTGAATAAACATTTCTCTGTTGACTTGTCACTCTTCACAAGGATCTGTTGTACAAGAGATTAAACAATAAACTCACTTCGCAAATCCTGAAAAGCTAAGTCACATATTTTTAGTCAGAGTTTGTGATTTTTTATAGATAAATCAAACAGTATGACATGATGGTGTAATTGAATGAATAGAGAAAATTTAGATAATTTTTATATACTAAGACTCACTGAATAAAACCTTAAATGTTATATTTACAACTAACAAAGTGTAATTGTTACATATAACTTGAAAGATTTTTGTTTGTAAATGACAGTATTAAAAGACAACTGTTGCATGTAAAAAGGCTGAAACAGAATTAGTTTACAAATAGATTTGTGCACAATATTAGAAAATGATCTTTAAAACTTACATGAAAATACCGGGACAATAAGTTACTCGCATTTCACCAGCATATATCTGAAATTTAGGCAATGTGAGAAAAAAACATTTCTTTCACACATCTTTGTTTACTTCCATCAGATTATTTGAAAGGCAACATTTTTACACAAGCATCTTTATCTTAAAGACAACACCCTTACAAAGACATCTTTATTAAAAACAACACTTTTACAAAGACATCGTTGCCATAAAGACAAATTCTTACAAGATATTTTACCATAAAAACATAGACAACATTTTTACACAGGAATCTTTATCTTAAAGGTCCATGTGTTTCACTGAGGTGTTTCAGAGAAAGAATATTTACTTATTCTGTCAAGATTTAGATTATTGAAAATTAGCATTTTATTGAAATAATTATTTTATAACTTTTATGTTTCTATTTTTTATAAATGTAAGTTTAAAAAGTAAGTGAAGTAATTATAAGTACAGATGTATTTATTCTCAATAGCTGTCCATTCCAAGTTGGAAACAACAGAAAAAATTGTACAATAAACCTGTTATGAAATAAATATCTACAAACCTTATTTTACATCTACTAAAAATCAAAACATTTTTTATACATGCATAGATTTATCAAGGCTACAGTGAATATAAAGTTTGTGTAATATTCATAAAAAAAGTACACATCCATTTTTAGTGATTCAGAGATTACTATACAGTTTTCAATTCTACCAAAATATGTAAACAATGTAATACAATATAAAACTCTGTCAGAATAACTTTTAATTTGAGTTCTGTTTCATCACTAGTAGTTAATTCAGAAGTTACAACATTTCTTTAAAGAGTCAGCATAAAACAAGATACCTACACACTCTGGGATGACAGATTGCTCCGGTCATCTTTTTTTCTCTTTTCATCTTACATGATTTTTCAGTATCTTTAATTGATGAGTTTAACTGCATGAAGTATGACATTAAATTCATAACCTTTACTTCATCTCTTATATTATAAATACCTTATTTCAAGTGATCTACTTCGTCAAAATGTATTTATTATTCTCACAACACCCCACAATTACACAATCTATTTGTTCTGTTTATTAACATTGGAACAAGGTCATGTATAGCAAAATAAAACAATTAGAATGTTTAATAGAAAAAGGCTTAACATTTAAAAACTGTTTTGAAATGCAATTTTTTTGTTACAACTATGGTTATAATTTTTAACATACAGTTAAAAATTAATTATAGTATTTAGTATACAGAGAATTTGAATGAAGCAGAAAAACAATGTTTGTGTTTTATAGCCACTATTTATGTTTTGAACAAAAAATAAATATACTACTTACAATACCAGATTCTGGAAATGAATTAGGCCTAACACAATTTTGTCCATATTTTCTGTAGTGATTCTTCACATCAATACCAATGTATAATATATTTTAATGTCATCATCAAGCCAGGACTCTACTTTGATCTATGATGATGGATGTTGGACTACACTTTTAAACACTTGTTTTTTCCTGGGAAGAAAATATACAACCCATAAAGAAAAGTTTTAATACATTTTATGGAAACTTGTATATTTTACTGACAAACTTACACATTGATTTCACAGTTATGTTTCAGCTAATGAGAGATATGAATGTTAATACAATTGTAATGGGTGTTGGAAACTTGGTCTATTGTCTAATTTCACTTAAAATGTTATCTTAAATATCCACTGTAAATAATTAACAAGTATCAAGATTAAAATTCAAAGGTTGCTGAAAACTAAACTTGAAAAAACATCAATGGAAAAATAATTTTTATATCCCAAGTTAAGAACTGTAATCAAGATTTTGATATATACATACCTTTCAAACTGGAACTTGAAAAGACTTTCTTTCAAACTCAGCTGTTTCTTGGTACCTGTTGTCGTTTCAGCTGGTTTTTTGGACAAACCCATTCTACGACATTTTCCCGTTTCTGGCACAAATATAAGGTGATAAAACTAATATCTTGACAACCAATGAAGATAAGTATATGTAAACATGAAATGTATTTTTGGAACTAAATATCCCAAACAATTTAGTAAACAATAGATTCCAATCACATGTACAATGTAAAGAACATAAAAAGGTACTGAAAATAATTTTACATCTAAAGTTATAAGTTTACAATGAATTAAAACCCCTGAATGTTCAATACAAATGCAGGAAGGGTTAAATACATAGATCATCATTGTCTGACAGTAAAAACAAGATTTTAAGTTATACAATCCTTATTAGAACTTTCAAATCTAGTACAAATCTAATACAAACTCCATAAACACAGATATATTAAGGTTTCTGATATAATTAATTAATTAGATATTTTACGCAGAAATATCCGATATTCTGTTAATCTTTGATGTCTTTGAAACTAGGATGCTCGCCTATTTTATACACATTTTCTGAATGGGAAAAAAAAAATTTTAATATTTTAAATGATATTCAATGGAAGATTTACTTGGTATCTGTAAATACAATATTAAGGATACATATGTGCCAACAGAAATGAACTTTATATTGTAACCGTCTAAACAAATAAGATAGCCAATGGTCAACTATAGAGTTGGATGATTTAATCAGTTATCTAAGATAAGCAATTACACTGATTAGTGTCATGTAAACGAATCAATTATTTCACGAAAATAATCAACTAATTGAAATATTGCCATTATGTTTGCTTTGTTGTTAAGTGCAAAGCTACATAATAAGGTGAGAGGTGACTCATGATTTTAGGGTCACTGGTTCAATTCCCAATGCCATTAAGGGCCCACTGAGTCTCGACCATTTCCAGACTTTTTTTTTTTATGTCAGAAATTGTTTGTTTTAGAGCAAAGCAACATTGGGCTACTTGTGTCCAATGCAGGAAATTAATCCCAGATGTTAGCATTGTAAGTCCATAAACCTACTGCTCACCGGGGACACAGAAATTAAGAACTGTATACTTTAAAGTTGTATAAGAAGAAGAAGGAGATTGAAAGATCCTTTTGCCCATTTTTTCAGAAATTAATAACTGTATAATTTAATGTTGTATAAGCAAATACAGATCTAGGAGAGGGTATCCAGGTGGGCTGAATTCCCTCACCCATTTTTTTTGCATAAATTAAGAACTATTATTTAGCATTGTATAAGCAGATGTAGATCTACGAAAAGGAGGGCTGAACATCTCACCCATTTTTCAAAAATAACTACCATTTGGTGTTGTATAAGTAGGCATTAGGGAATCTTAACCAGTGTTCCCTCTAAGCTGCGTGGCCGCTCAACCAATCAAATGCTGTGGACTTAATTATTCCAGCCGCGTACATCCTCAGTAATGGTGAGAACATGTTGACAGCCTTAATGATCTTAGCAGTCAATAAGCCTAAATAACCAACTGGTAACATTGAAAAGTGGCCTAATGATTCAATAGGGGTGATGGACTAAAAATAGCCCCCCCCCAAAAAAAAAACAATTGGTAGCACACATCTGCACATTGCCTTGATACTGGTGCACATGAAAAATTCATTCCTCACATGTATTGAAAAAATTAGAGGCAACATTGATCTTAACCCCTCTATTTTCCTAAGAAATTAATATAAATTTTTGTGCCCTGATTTTTATAAACATTAACAGTGTGTCTAAACATTAGAGATTTGTTTTCATGACTTTGAGGTTGCTTCAAGCTTAATAATTGTATCTTGTTGATGTTTGGTTCTTTGCTTAAGTAAAGTGATTTTAGTTTTTAATAGATAGACTATGGTTTTATGGAACTGCAATGTTTTTTAATCGTGTTCACCAAATAAAGTTGTGATTAACTCAGATAAATTTAGTTAGTTTACTGCTTAGTAGCTGTGGTAGGTGACCACAAAATATTTTGAAAACTCAAATCTTGTGTATATTTTTTATGTTTATCCTATTAAAACAACTTGCATAAAACAAATAGGCTAACTGGCCACACAATTATTTCTGATTGCAACTGTGGGATGCTTTAAGTATAAATAAAAACATTTTCACTATTATCTGCGATAATAAAACATGTTTTCATTATTTACCAGTTTATTTGATTTATAGAATATCAGTGTGAGATTACTGCATATTTTAAAAACAAATGTAATGGTGACAGAGTGGAGTATTTAGTCGACATTAGTGAGACGTTCGCTAAGTAGGAACTGTCCAGATTATCTTTAAAAATATTTGTGACAAAATATTTTTTTTTAGAGATTTGAAAAAATAAAACAGTTAATACCATTTTAGAATAGCATAGTGGTTTAAATGTTACACTCACGTTTTTTTGTTTTTTCAGCAGGGGTAATAGGGTTGTAAATGACGTACTAATCGATTAATAAATCTGTCAATTACTTGATTAGCAAATACCACTAATCTCCCAGCTCTAACCAGCAACCATTCAAGTTTTATTACCCGTCTTCACTAATGTTTTAATGAGTATCATTAAAAATAAAATATCAATAGATTAGTAACATAATTTAGATAATACACAAAGCTATTAATTATCACAACAATTTCAATCTTACCACGTTTGTTTCCTGTGAAATATCTGTTTTTCTGAGTTGCAGTGCTTACAAGAGCATCAGTTAGTTGGGCTACTTCAGATGGAGAGGAAGATTCATGAGATATAGGAGTGGAAGACAGAGGAGAGAGTTCTTCATCATCCAGGAAAGAAGTGCACGGTTGAGATTCTGACAGTTTTCCAGAATCTTGGGACAAATGAAAAGACTCCTGATCTATGCTACAGTTTGTTAGGGGAGATGAGCCTTGAGATCCATCACTGTTCTCTTCTAAAGGATGTATAGGCTTGTAACTTGACTGAGAAGCTGGGCTGCTTTGAAGACACAAGCTGGAGTTTTTCTTTTGAAAGGAAAAAAGTGTTTGTAGCTTGTCCCTTTTCCACTGAAAACTTCTCGAGTCTCGTCCAGATGATGAGAGTAAGCTGTCATCAAGAGAAGTTTCTATTTCATCCTGAAATGAAGTTTTTTGTTTTCTATTTCTAGTAGAACCAAAGTTAGCTGTGGTTTCACTTTCTGGATCATCTCCATCCATATTGACATTTTCACCATTAACAACTTCCTTTCCTGGCTGCTGAGATGCAGTGGGCAGATCTATCTGGAGACTATTGTACTGCTTGTCAATTTCATCCAACCAAGAAACTTCACTGTGTTCATTCTTATGAACTGTTGTGTTCTCTTGAGGTGGTGACTTGAAGAAAAACCTAACACATGGTAAAAAAATTAAATGTATAAAAAATATAAGAACATTTTCACTCAGTTTTCAAAACAACATATTGTCATATGCATTCTTTAATGAAGTCTCTCAACAAATTTTTTTCTTTGATCAATTTACGAAATAAGAAAGAGCCGAGAATTTTCTCAAGTGGAATTACTTACAACTGAACAGTGCTTTCCACTGAGTAGGTGTTTGTTCTTGATAAAATACCAGGCTAGAATAAGTTAAACACACTTATGTATAGTTTAACCTAGGTGTTTAAGTGGTATTAATTAAGAAAAATGATCTTGTTTCTCTGCACATTATTATACTGGCATCAATCAAAAATAAAAACGTTATTAACTGATTCTTTCCTGCTTTAACTGTTTATACTTTTAGTATGAACCAACTTCCTTACCTACTGCGAACAACAGGTGTTGAAGTGAGCTTGTTTCCACAAACTTTAAATTTGTTCAAAATGGATTTTGGTTTTTCTGGGGTCTCAGCTATTACCTGAGGAACAGCACTTGGATCATTACTCTCCACTTTACATTTTTTGGCACTGTGAGGAGAAGGTGACATGTACATTGAAAATAATTCTTCGTCTGAGGGTGCAGTATTAACAGGAACAAGAACTGTAAAGAAAAATAAATTTACTGATTGAATAATGTGTTATTCAACCATAGCTTAGTTAAGTATGACAGTCACATGTTTCTGTTAACTCATAGATCCATCAAGTATGATAGTCATGTGTTTCTGTTAACTCATAGATCCATCAAGTATGGTAGTCATATGTTTCTGTTAACTCATAGATCCATCAAGTATGGTAGTCATGTGTTCCTGTTAACTCATAGATCCATCAAGTATGATAGTTACGTTTCTGTTAACTCATAGATCCATCAAGTATGGTAGTCATGTGTTCCTGTTAACTCATAGATCCATCATGTATGATAGTCACGTTTCTGTTAACTCAAAGATCCATCAAGTATGATAGTCATGTGTTTCTGTTAACTCATAGATCTATCAAGTATGGTAGTCATGTGTTTCTGTTAACTCATAGATCCATCAAGTATGATAGTCATGTGTTTCTGTTAACTCATATATCCATCAAGTATGATAGTCATGTTTCTGTTAACTCGTATATCCATCAAGTATGATAGTCATGTTTCTGTTAACTCGTATATCCATCAAGTAAGATAGTCATGTTTCTGTTAACTCGTATATCCATCAAGTATGATAGTCATGTGTTTTCAAAGCACGTTACTTAAGTGACTGTAATGTTCTGAAAGTAATCTTAATCCTTAAAACAAGACCCAGTTAGAATGAACCTTTAAACAACTGACTAGTAGCTCATTTTATTGAGTAACACCAAAGACGTGTAACAATAAAATATCCAAAGAAATTACCTTTGTTTTCTCTAGTTCGTTTTTTAGGAGTAATAGAGTGAAGAACTTGATCAGTTCTGAGTGCCAGTTCTTTTCCATGAGTAGATGGAATTCTTGATACATACTGGAGCTTTTCCTCGCTGGATTCAGACACTTTATAGTTTTTATCCCAAATGCTAAGCCGAAGCATTGAATTCTCTTTGCCAGACCATGTCATACTTTTGGGGATCTTTGCCTTTGTTTAAAGATAAAATAAAAATACTTTTTTAAACTCCAAATGTTTACACTAGACTATATCAATACGAAAAAAAAAAAAAACTATTCTGTAAAGATGCTTAATATTTAATATATCTTACTTTATCAGGATTAAAGTTGTCAACTGGCTTCATTGTGTGGACATGCAAGTTTCCCAAAGCAAACTGTAAAGCATCATCAAAATATCTGAGACAAACAGAAGTTAAGAACTTTCCATTTTTTCAAAATGTTCTCTATTGGCTCTTAAAATTATAAGTGCTAAATTAGGCATTGAATGTGCATCAAATTAAAGTATATTTCAACAACACCTGTACTCCACCATACAAGTATGCTTGCTCCCTCCCTAATCAACACCCAAATTTCTCAGAAAATTATATGTGTGTACTGAAAAAGGTGGTTGATTTATAAGGCTTAAAAAACAACAACAATGTCATAAAATGTGGTCTGAGCTAACACCTTCCACCATTTTGACCCATAATATATAATCCATTCATTTGATGCAAGGTACATGTAGTACGCACATATTTAAACACCATTTTCATTTAACGTCAGGTTCCGTATTTTGTTACAAACCTCTTTTCTCAGCTGAACCCTCATTCATGACATTAAGGTGGTAAAAGTGAAATGGCTGTCAAACCCAAATTGTTCATCCACTTGCTTATCCATTCATGCCCCATCTTTGTGGTGGGTCCACCCGAATTTCTCTATCAAACTTCAGTGAAATTGGTTCAGTCACTTTTTCAAAACAACTTGTGCCATGAGACAGACATATGGACAACTCTGCTTTACATTTATTGATGGGTTTTACATATATGGTAGTATATGGTTTAATAAGGTACATAATTAATGAAAAATCAAATTGTGTTTAAAAAAAGAACCAGCAGTGATCTTGACATTCACCTAGAGACAAGTGGAGAGGAGCTTAAGTTGGTTTGTCATTTAGAACTTTTTCTGGATTTGTTTTTAGACATCTATTTATTTATAAAATTTCTGCTGTCTAGTTTTTACCTTTTTCACAGATATGCCGTTTTTTCTGGAGCAAATTGGTGTTTAGTTTCAATAAGATGGAATGCAAAGGTTGAATCCATTTTCCTTGATTTCCATCTTCTAGAATATTCTTTAATTCTCATTTCTATTTGATATATATATATATACATTATTGCAGTCTTGACAGGTTAATTGGTAAACACCACTGTTGCTGTATTTTTCTATTCTGTCTTTGTTGTTGCACAGCATTCTTCCTAGGTTGTTTTTACAGTAGAAGGCCAGTCTGTAGATTTCTTTGTTCAGTGTGTTATATATTTCTTTTCCTTTTTGTTCTCGTTTGGTACAATATGTGGGTATATTGATTTAAAATTTTTTAGCTTTAAATTTTTTAAACGTGTTAATTAACTTTGTTGTATAATCATTGTTACAGCAATTTGTTTTATAGTTTTTAATTCAGTTTCATAATCAAGTTTGTGAGATATTGGATGTCTTGAAGAAGCATGTATAAGCTGGTATTCTGAAGATTCTGAAGGAATGTATGCCATTACTTATGTCAATATTTAAGTCCCAAAAATTAATGTTTCCATTTTCACCAAATTCCATAGTAAATTTAATAAATTTGTTTTGTGAATTTAGAAAAGTCACAAAATTTTCGAGTTTACATTTAAATCCTGGCAAAACCATGGTCATATTAAATGATGTATTTGTGAAATGTACAATTGTCTTGTTTTCCTCAAATCTCTAATTACGGAGTTCCACCAAGTACCAGCAGTTTCAAGTATCAATTATATCTAAGTATAGTAAACAGTAGATACATAAAATTAAAAAATAAAATAAAAAGGGAAGTACATACAAATAACACCACACAAATCTTTCAAATATATAAAAAACATCTGAAAGGATACTCTCCAGCATAAGTCAATGTCTCTGGCTCAATGTCTTTAGGATATGGGTTCAGTGGAACAAGACGTCTTTGAAGAGGACAGAATACCAATTGATATAAAAATGTGTTGTTGGCCTTAATGAAATTCTCTTTGTATATAGAGGAGACTTCTAAGTTTGGCATTTTCAAGTATGTTGGGACCTTTGGCAACACCTAGTTAAAACGGAAATAGCTGTTTTCAAAACTGTAAATTAAAGTATTCTGCAGCTAGTGAACAGTCTTTAAGGCTAACCCGTGAGTACCTAGACTTCATTGCCATCAGGGTTAGCCACAACAGTTTGATTCAACCATCTACTCTGCATAACAATGACAAAATTTGGTTTAATTACAACAATAGTCAAACAAACTCAAAATAGTTTTCTTTAAAGAATTGTTGGACAAGTTTTGGGTTCTTTACATCATGCTTAGTACTGTTTTTGGGAAGAACATATTTATACAAACAAAACAGTCTTTTTAACGGTTAGTGATAATTCTCACTGGACATTCAACACCAGAGCAATAAACTTTCATTAATAACTTTTATTTGGGGCTTATCCAAAACATATTCAAATCTGATGAAAATGTATTTCAGACAAATACTCACAACAAAGACCTATAACCTCATGCTAATGTGGTGAAGATTTTTGCACATGCCATAAGCCCCACACATATTAAGTGCATTGTGCCAGCCTATGAAGGGCTCACACTTAACTTTTTTTAGGGAGTTAGCCGAACCCCCAAAAATGCATTTTTAGGGACCAATCCTATAGCTCATTGTAAAATGTTCTCTTAGTGGAGGTTATCAAAAAAATCACTGAATTAAATATTGGATGTTGCATAAATTGACAAGAAACTAAAGATATAAACACACCTCAATTAATTTTGTTGTGGAAAAAAAAAAAAAACCACAAGTCAAACCATTTCAATTTTTCCAGACCACTTAAATGATTTATATTTCATATCTCTAAAGCATGGTATAACAATAACTTTTTGTTCCCTTTTAAAGTAGTGTCCTTTAATAATCAAAATAAATAATGAAAGAAAATCTATGCATCATTGTTGGTGTAATCTATTCTTGTTCCCATATAACCCATTACCATCTAGTTGACACATATTTGTCAATAAAATGTCAAATACTTTTGATGGAAAAATCATACAATTTACGTCACCACTAACGTTATAGCAATCAGTTCTTTCATATCCTGAAACAGCTGTTAATTAGCTAATAAATGCGCAGTCCAGTTCAGCATATAGATTAGTGGGTTTAACCGCGTCCACTTCGATAATAAGCATATCGATAAGCAGCTTTAAAGCATTGAAGTTTATTAATTGTTATTTATCTTTAGAAAGTTTCCAATGTAAATTTTAAAGCTATACACACAGAAATTTGTGGATAGTTTGATATCAAGGACAGTTTGGGAACATCAAACCACTTCACTAGAAGTGTACACTTCATTTGAATATACGTTTTAAAATATTGTTAGGTAATGAAAAATGAAAATCATTTTTTTAGCAAAACATTTTTTATATTTCCTGTTTCTTTCAGAAAACAATTATAGTTACTGATAACATGATAAGCTCTATAAAATGAGATATTTATAAACATTTCCTTACATTTAATAGGTATAAAACTATCAACACGCTATACAATCAAATATACGTTGGTTAAAATGTTCCTATTTCTAAATGATATCCAGAATGATTAATATTTAGCTCTAAAAAAAATTAAGTTATTTTCTTATTTGATACAAGGTTGCTGTCTACTTAGATACTCTAAGAATGAAGTTACTAGTTCTTTTTCCTCAAAGATAACGAAAGTATCATCAACATTACTTGTTGACATTACGTTTATCAAAACTAGATTTGTTTTATGTTAGTTAACGTCATTTTTAAATGTAGGCATTTTATTTCGAGTGTTGTAGCCTTGCACGTTATATGAGCAAAAATAGCAGTCATCTCCGTGGTTTCTAGGCTCACTCCAGACTATTGGAATTCCAAAAGGCAAATACTTTTTCTTACCTTTAGTCCATTGTCTCAACTCTTCGACAAAAATGGTGCAAACTTTGTGCAGAGCACATGATTTGTCTTGGTCCCCACGTTATATTACAAAATACGCGTAATACGTTTTTTTGACGAATTCTGTAATGTTTTGCCTTTGTTTCTTTATAACATATTTACCACAAATATAACAGAATATGTTTGGGTCACTTACACAACATCTTGTTGCCATAGCAATTAATAAATAATATTGAAAAGAAAAAAATAATATAAAAGTGCACGCACAAACAAATACTCTTCAGAATTAAAATGCTTGTTTGCTAGACAAGAATTCGAAGATAGTTCTAAACATTTGAAGGTCCATTTGGTAACATTCAAGCAGTGTCAGCTTATTTTCTCTCTTTGGTTAACAGAAACCATTTGACAATGTTTGAAAAGCCTTCACACACATTAAATGTCACTCGATTGGAAAATTTGATTTTTTATAATATCAATTATAATTGCTTCAATTAAATGCCAAGTGTACAGATATAAGAAATTTAAGACATGCAGCAATACGTATAAAGCATCAAATATAGATAACAAATCATTGTAATGTTGAGACTTGTTATACTTGAAGGTCGTCCATATTTATTTTCTAATCAAACTGTTAGTGTTACTCTGTTCAGTTTTGCTATTTATTATTGTTTATTACATATGCTTAATTAATCAACAATTTTAAGTTAAAAAAAACAACTATGACTGGTGACTGTTAAATAAAGACTTGTGTTTCCAGTACCTTCAAAGGTTAAAATCTATCTTTCCTTACAACCATAATTTATTTAGACATTTTCCATTCGACTTGCCTAAAAAACAAACATATTAGTTAATGCCATTTGGGGATTTTTACAACTTTCACCTTAATTGACAGTGCACAGATTCATTTTATATAAGTGGATTTCAAGGTAATTTTTTATAGAAAACTAATAATAATTTTGCAAACTGGTAAAATGAAAAACAGTAAATGTACATCATTGACATTACTGTGTTCTTTACAAAAACATGCTAAGTAGTTTTGTTTTTAATGGTAATAATGTTGCTATTAAGTACAGATGTTATGAATATCTCAATGGTAATAATGTTGCTATTAAGTACAGATGTTATGAATATCTCAATGGTAATAATGTTGCTATTAAGTACAGATGTTATGAATATCTTAATGGTAATAATGTTGCTATTAAGTACAGATGTTATGAATGGAGGAATTCTGCTATAAAATATGTATTTATAAAGTAAACTCAAAATTAGGTCAAATAAAAAAAATTGACAAAAATCCATACAAAAGTTTCCTGTGCAACAATTAACCTTCTATTTCATTTAGAGTCCAAATTGTTTTCTTCTACAAGAGATCTTTACCTCATATATGTTATATTTTAAGATTTGTGTGAAGCTCCAAACCGAGTCCTGGCTTGTTCGTCAAAATAAATTTGCAAGTACCCCTTATGCCACCAGTGATAACCAATGGATTTCTTATGAAGATATGGACAGTATGACAACAAAGGTAAGTTGTTTTGTTGTTAAATATTTTACCAGAGTTCAATGAGTTGTAGTTAGATAACTAAAATTATCTCATAATTCATAAATATAAATAATTACAAATGTTAATCAATAGCAACAGATTTCACAATTTTCACAATTACAAATAAGATTATATTGCGGATAACATGTGTACCAATATTCGAGAGCTTTGTTAAAGCTTTTTCATACTCTTAAAGAAAAGCCTTGCTATATAGTTACAGATTCATGTTCTATAATGAACCTTGCTACATAATTATAAATTCATGCTACTTCATACTCTAACGAACAGCCTTACTACACAGTTATTAATTCATATTTCATACTTCCTAGTGAACAACCTTGCTACATAGTTACAGATTAATACTTCTCCATACTCTCTGACGAACAACCTTGCTACATACTTATAAATTCATACTACTTTATACTCTCTCTGACAAACAACCTTGCTACATACTTATAAATTCATACTACTTTATACTCTCTCTGACAAACAACCTTGCTACATACTTATAAATTCATACTACTTTATACTCTCTCTGACAAACAACCTTGCTACATACTTATAAATTCATACTACTTTATACTCTCTCTGACAAACAACCTTGCTACATACTTATAAATTCATACTACTTTATACTCTCTCTGACAAACAACCTTGCTATATACTTATAAATTCATACTACTTCATACTCTAATGAACAGTTGCTAAACAGCTACAAATTCATATTGCATACTCTCTAGTGAACAGCCTTGTGAAGGTAGTGTTACGACAGCGGGGGTCATGTGACGCTAGTAACACGTCATATTCTCGAAGATTCGTGAATGCTCGAGCGTTTACTAGAATTCGGTATTCTTGTATATATAAGACCAGTAAGAAGTGATGGCAACAATGTAATTGAAATGCGGACATAGAAAGACGTATTGTTGAGTCGAGCACGTGAGTCGTTCGTTGTGAATTATAGCGTTTGTTATAGCGTGACTGTGAAAATTAAATGTATTGCAAAGTTGTATTCGGAAAGAATAAACCAGTTTTATTTAAGAAAGGACTTGTATCGCTAGTTTCTTCGGAAAGAATTTTTACGGGAAAATTAACTAACGACCAGATGTAACAGTAGTTACAAATTCATACTTCTCCATACCTTTTAATGAACAGCCTTGTTTGATAGTGTAACAAAGTCATACTCCTTCATACTCTTTAATGGTTGTTATTAAGCACAAAGCTACACAATGGCCTATCTGTAATGTGCCAACCACGGATATTGAAACCTGGTTTTTAGCATCATAAGCTTTCAGATTGTGCATTATTAATTATTTTTCACTCTTTGCAACCTTGTACATTTCCTGTAATGTGAACTTCTGCTCATTTAAGCTTGTAATTTTAGACAAATGTAGACTTTTAGTAGCTTTTACTTCATGTTATTCTCAAATACACTGCTTCTTTATAATTATAGTAACTGATCTAACTTTTAGGTTAGGCAGAAATTTATACATTGATATGTGTAAATTATTGAAATTTCATTAAGAAAATACTTACCTGTCTAAATTAAAGCAGAAAGCAAAACCTGTATGATTTGCATACCACGAGTTATATGTCACATGTCCTCCTTACAAGAACTGACAATCCTATGCACAGTGTATGAAATGGGGGGGAAAAGTGGAATTGGGACAGTTTGTGAAACTTTTGAACTGATTACTATATTTCTTGTTTTTCTTGTGTATTCTTTATTTGATATTATAAAAGTAACTGCATGCAAAAATTAGAAACTTATTAGGTTAGATAAGGTAAGATTACAAAAATTAAATAATAAAAATTCTTCACCAGGTATACTTGCAAGCAGTTCATGCATTACTTAATTTGATACAGTAACATAAACTGCACATTCCCCAAGTTATTTACAAGTCATGTGGTGGGATTATTAGTTAGATATGGTTCAAAAGGCAATAAAACAATAAAATTAACTGTAAACAGGTGTATACTGTTACTAGTTATAGTATGGAAACACTGATGGTTACTTTGTGGTTATGAACTTTGTCACACAGAAGAAGCCCATAGCAAGAGGGTTCATTCACTCCATCTGTATATTACTTTGTCCCATTTCTGCCTTGCTGTTATATGACAGTTTAAGAAAAATATATAGTTTTCTCCCCAGCCCCTTATCTCCATGAATATTTACTGCATTGTCTATTGAACCTTTCCCTTGTGAGAAGCTTAGTCTGCTAAAAGGTAGCAGGATAGTTTTGGGCCCTCCTGAAAGGAAGTAAGATGGTATCCCACCTCACTTCAAGCAGTACCTTTACTGACTTTAAAATACCAATGTTAAACAGTTTCAACAATTATAAAGACATGGTTCTCTTTCTTTCTTGCAAGTGTTTATTTTTTCAAGATTTTCACTTCCTATAAATGGGGCAATTACATTAAGCAAATTCACAAGATAAATAAAGTATTATAATCTGATGTCAGAGTTCATAAAATATATTAGATGGTTTATTATTGTTTTATATATGACTTACAGGCATATTAATTTAATATTAAAGTTAGAAGATATACAAGAGCTACTGATATATTATTTCTAAAAAAAATACTAATTTTAGTTTTTGTTAGGCAAACTTTGTTTTGGAAAACAATCTTGGAGGTATAATGGTCTGGTCTCTTGATATCGATGATTTTACGGGAACATGCTTTGGACAGAAGTTTCCTTTACTTACGGTCATCAACAATGTTCTCAAGAACAATAATAAGGCTCAATATGTCACAGAACTTCTTGAAGAAACGTGGAATTACTCTAAATCTCAGCAAATGAACCATTCTAGCTCTCTTTCAAGTGAAAAACTTTCAAGTCATGAAGCAACATGCACAAGAGAGGGTTTCTTTGTATTACCTAAAGACTGCTCCAAGTTTTACCGTTGTACTCTGCTCCAAACAGGAAAATTTTTGATGCATTCTTTTGATTGCCCCCCAAAAACAGTTTTTGATAGTCGGTATAATGTTTGTACGTGGAAGAAGAATGTAAATATTCTAAATTGTAGTTAATGACATCTTGCATTTGAAATCAAAATTACATTATTTTTCCATTCACTTAAATATATATTAATCTACTAACAATAAGCTTAATATTTCTTTTAATCTTTATTTCAACAAAAAAATTATTTTTAAGTTTTAAATTTACAGATAATCCTTGAATAATGCACTTGTTTCTTTGTGTAGTGATTACTTTTACCATGAAAATATCTTGTCTATACTTATAGAATAAACTCATTTAGATTAATAGATGTGTTCTAGTTATGATAACTCAGTACCACTTATAAATACTATATCTTCAAAACAAAATACCACTGTACACTTATCTGTCACATCTGTTACTTGTATTTCTTCACCAAAGTGCAATCATTTTTGTTTCTGCTTATTTACAACATATATTTCACATGACAAATTTTCCAATATTAAATTAGACTATTTTCATAACTGAATTTGCATGACAATGAAAATATAATCAAACATACACAGGTATTTCTCTTGCTATTCATCATTATTTATCTATCAATAGTTACAAACTTTTGCATTTGATGTTGTCCAGTTCTTTATGTTTGACAGTTATGTAAATTATAGTGGTGCTAGTAATGCAAGATTTCACTTACATAATTTCTTATTCTGTATTAATTATGACCTCAATGCATAAGTCAAAATTTAAATACTAGCGTAATTTTCATGTGAATTATCTTATTTTTTAATCTATGAACTCAGTAATTGTTAGTATTAACACTTACAATTATTCAAAACTTTTAGTTTTATGAAATAAAACTTGATATAATTGTCAAGTTAAGCTGTGCAATACCAGAAATTAAAAAGACAGGAAAGAACTATGTTTTAAGAGCATAATCTAGAGCATTTTAGTATCAATCTCTGAGATTAGATGACAGCACTGGGCCATAAATATTGTTTTCACAGCTTTACCTAAAGCATGCATATTTGTTTATCTGTTTACTAAGAAGCTAATGTGTAAGGAAGGTTTTAAGTATTATATCAGCATTTTTACAATTACTATGTGAACAAACCAACAATGAAATGCAAAATTTATATGAATTGCCTTTTGTAATATTATATAAACTTTAAATTGTGAAAATTACAGGTTATGTATTAATCCTTTGAATATATTTTAAAAAATTATTTATTTAAAGTATTGTGAATACAAAATAAAAGACTAATCTAATAATATTTTTAGTAATGATGTATGACTGTAATTTGAGATTATCTTTCTTCTATAAATCAGAATAGTTCTTATCCATCAACCACCACCCAATTTCAAGTGCATAAAAATAAGAACAGTATACTCTGTACACTTTTAAAGATCACTTCATGGATGATCTCAGTTTGTCCAGGACAGTTGATATTGTTAGCTCATCTGCTATTACAGAAAGGGTCTTTTCTCTTGACTTAAATCCCTATAAGAAAAATAAAAGTGCATATTGATTGTTACAATCAAGTAGCTTAAAAATAAGAATATATATATATATATATATAGTTTTATGTGTTTAGATAGCACCATACACATGTTAACACATATTCTAATGCCAACTTGTCATATGAATGTTCTTTCATAACATAACAGAAAATATAGTACAGCTAGAAAATTCGTATATCAAAATAACCAACCTTTTCTAAAGCAACATTTCTTTTCTTTACTCCTAACAATTCAGCAATAAATCCTACTAATTCATTATTGGCCTCACCATCCACAGGAGGAGCAGCAACTTGGACACTAACAACATTTTCATCAATACCTGATAAAAAAATTAAGCAAGATCTTTTGCTTAAAAAAGCACCTGAGTGAATTAAAAAAACTAAACTAAATAAGTATACAAGTCTACAAAATACAAATATACAAAACACAAACCTTCAAAGCATACTTTATTTATTAATTTATTATAATTTCATTTATTTTCAGAGATACAGGTTTTGGATTATATTTATTAACAGAAAGCCTATAACCAGTACTCTTAACACACAAGTCAATTATGGCTTAGAAGGAGTCTTGCAAGTTATTTATTCTCTTAAGGATATCTACTTTTTTCCTCAAAAATAAAAAGATAAAACATAACCCAAAATTACATAAAACTAGAACTTAAGATAGCAGTTAGATATCAAACATTGTCGGACCAAAAAGTGGTGGTAATAGAAACAAGGGTAAAACAGTCAATAGAAAAAAGGCTAATTGGAAAAATGTAAAAAAAAATATATATAGATGTACAAAGCAAACAAATTATAAGAAAGAATGAACAGAACAGTCGAGTTTAATATTAGGTGTTGCACATTAATGAGAAGCTATTGATTAGAAAACTGTATTATTAACAGCTTAATTATTAACTCAGTTGGTTTACATGGTTTCAATAATTGCTTTAGGCTTGGCTTAGCTGTTATTGATACTGTTTTCAAAAATACTTTTTGACCTGTAATTTTCTTTGTCTTTTTTTACCCTTGTCTTTACTACCTAGATTTTATTCGAAAGATGTACATACAAGTTCTTTTTTGTCAACACTTTCCAAGAACAGGCAAGTATAAATTGCAAACTTGTAAGTTGTTTGGAAAATCTACCTTACTGCATGTACATTGTTTGTAAATGTATGCATGTTAGGGCAAACATTTTTGAATCCAACTTTGGAGGCTGCACTAGACAAAAATAAAATTAAAAAAACATAATATTACTGTTTTACCAGTCATGTCACAATTGAAAATCACTGAATGGTGAAGTTGATGATGTCATTGTGCAGTATTGTTGGCAGTTTAACCTTAAAAATTTTGATAACTACGGAGTGTATTCTGAAGCTTTATTAAATTTGAAATAGTTGAAGTTATCAATAAATGTGCTAAAAAAAATCATGATTTCTTTTCTGTTTTTTTATTTGAGAAATGAAAAATAAAAATAGGGACTGACCTCGTGGCTAGTACATGATCGATACATAATGGTATGTGACTGTTGTGAGAGAACAGCAAATTGTTGAGGTTCAATGCCTAAATTCAGCATTCACTTCAGCCATAACTTTGAAGACTTTTCCTATCACTCCACACATTTTGAACTAAACCACTTTCTAAAGTATTCCAACCAAAGGTCAAATAAAGTGACAGCAATTGAAAGTTTTCGTTCGTAAAGAAAGGAATCTTCAAATGAGTTGCCCAAAGATTTTATTTAAGTTGGCCTTATTAAAATGCCCCTAATTGTATCTTTGTTGCATATGTAATGATCAACTTTCTAACCTTAAAAAAAGAAAAAGAAATGACAACTTTAAATGCATTATGATAAATAAGACCTACATCATGCTGGTTGAATTATTTAAAATTTGTCACCTCCTGGCTCGACACACACATGCATTCATTGAATGTTCTTGAAATCTCAGCACTTACACACTGTGCCACTTTTCACATCTGTCTAAAATCACAAAATATTACCTTTTACTATTGATAAAGACACTCTCCTGTTAGTTACTGGTGCAACAGGCAGTTGGTTACAACAATTGCCCACTTCTTCTTCATCGTGGTAGGTATTTTGGTTTAGAACCAGGAGTATTCAGAAATTTAGATTTCTCTTTGCCTCACTTCTGACTGACTGACTTTAAGTCAATATTGGATTTAATAAAAGTAATTCTTAAGGTCCCTGGGAATAGATTTTTCTGACTTGCCACTACAAGTGATACGGAAAAGTCACAGAGAGTAGACTGGAAAGGTTTGTTCAGTTGTTTGCATGTTAGCTTCAGGACAAGAAGCAACCCATTGAGCACACTACAATAGCAGGGAAGATCCAGAGCAGACATGTCACCCACCAGGAGGGCTTCACACTCCACCCAAAAAGGGCCAAACCATGAACATTTATTTATAACAATTAGACAGTAAAACATAACTAAACAGAGTTGATAATGAACAGATGAATATTACAAATATAAATTGTAACAAGTTAAACAAAACAATATTCAATTAAAGAAAGAATCACAACTGAAATTAAAGCATTGAATACAGTTTGAACACTGTAAATTGAAAAGTAAAACATGTAGTCCTTGTCCATGCCTGGTAAAAGCTCAAGATGGTTGATATGTGTTGTTAAGTGTTTTTATTATGCTCTAGGGGGTTACGTGTTGTTCCACGATTCTGGCGTTTCAGTCGACATTTTGCTTAAAAGGGAATTACAATACTTTGATTTTTTGTAATATATGGTAGCTAGTTTGACAAATCCTTCTCTGAGTGTTTTCATTTTACTAGTATTGTGAAGATATGTTCCTGGTGTGTAAACAGGGAAATGATATGCAATTCTGATAGCTTTTAGCCATCCTGCTTCCAGTGATTTATATAAGTTGTTAGACATGTAATCACATTCTGATGTACATTTTATAGATTAGTAAAAGGTTTGGGCATAGCCACCTATTTTTTTTATATAGTTTATTCTTCGATTTGTTTTATCAACAACTTTTCCTATAATCATCATCCAGTAATCCATAAACTCTACAACTCTAGTTCACTCAACCATAATAGTATAAAGTAAGCAACAGGATTTGAAGTCTAAAGACATGCATCATCTATGTCTTTCACGTGAACTAACCAAAGCCGCTATTATCCGTAAACATATACCTGAACTCATCAGAGAATATTTCACTGTTTTAAATACTGAGAACCTCAACAAACTAACAAAACTAGGTGTCTCTATAGTCAATTCATCATTGAACTACAGTGTGAAAAAAAAGTCATAACAATTCCCGATGATCTCTCTCTTGTGGAAACTGAGTTCTACATTTTATCAAGAGCACTTAATTTTGAGCCCACCCACAACCAACTATGTGAATATTCTTTGAAAGCTGACATGGAAAAATTCTATAGACAATATTGTTTAAAGGCTCACTTTTCCAAACAAGGCTCATATGAACAAAATACTATCTACACTGTCAATTTTGATTCCAGTGGAACCTCAACAATGATATGGTTTGAGTGAGATAGGGGAAGGTGATATCATTTACAAAGATTATGTAAAGTAATGGGCTTACAACAGAGCCTTGTGGAACTCTTGCCTGTAGGTTAAGGTTGTGGACAGGTTATTACTGATTCTGACTTTAGCTGTTCCGCTTGTTAGAAAACTAGAGATCCATCTTATAAGAGATATTGGGATTTTGTGTTGAGAGAGTTTGTACTGTAGGCCATTGAGCCAAACACTGTCAATTGCTTTTTTGACATCAAGAAAAGAGGCTATCATTACATGATTCTGATTAAAGCCATGGAGGACAACTTCTGTTAGTCTCACTAGGTACTCATTAGTTTAACGTGTTTTTTTTTCCTAGATCGGTTTTGTATATCTCTTAATAATTTGTTTGATTCAAGATAACACAATAAACTGGTTGTGATTATCTTTTCTAATAACTTCCTATACAATTTGGAAGGCTTATCGGCCTGTAATTTGCTGGGTTGCCGAGATCCCCACCTTTTTAGGGGATAATACTTCCTGATTTACAGGAAGTGGGGAGGTATCCTGCACTTAACAAAGAGTGTACAAAGCGTTTAAGGAGTAATTCAGAGGCGTTCTTTATTCCTAAATTCCTTATGTAATTTTTATTATTCTTGTTTTTCAACCACTTGCTTCCTACTCGAAACACACAAAATATCTAGTTTTTCTCATTCAGAAGCAATCCAACCAATCAGCAATCATTTTTGTCGAGCCACAACTAACTTTAAGGTAACTTCTTGGAACTATGCATATTCATAAATAATTAGACTGTCAAATGATTAAATGGAATTTCTCATAGCTGTCCAATACATTTGTTATTTTGTAACTATATGTATATATCTGTTTACTGCTTTCAGCTTATAGTGACCTCTCCGATACTGATACGTGTAATTCAAACAACTGACAAAACCATCCTATTGGAAAGTAATGGAACATTCCAAATTTCCAATCATTCTGTTGTCATGTGCTCTTCGGCAACCTTCCACAAATAATGAGCTGATACACAGTGTAGTAATAATGGGAGCCACATGGCATATTATCCTGAGAACTTTGTGGGAAAAGTCCTTTTAGATCTCCAGCAAGCACAGTGTGTATTAACTTTGTGCATAGGGTACTGTTATTGACCTTTTGCTAATGGATGGTCTGTAAAGAAATGATTGTGCTTCGCAATGTGCAGAGCATTGTTTTTAACCTTTCTTTGATGTATCAGTTTAGGTAAATAAATGAGAAACAGACCGAGATTGTTTTAACTAATGATATTCTATGGTGAATAATGTTTTATGTTAAAAGAAGAAGGAAAAAGTACAGGGTTCTACATGATTGTAAGCACACTTACAAATCAGAAGATCGTTGTTGTGAATAAAGTGGTCTAGATGGTGTTATTTTTAATTTCTCAGCAATCGTTTTTTTGTGATTTAGAAATATGACAAATTCTACTGATTCTGATTGTTGCCTGATTATGCAATAATTGGCCCAATTCCAATTGTGGAAACAATTATCAATAAAACACTGGATAATATAAAATGATAACTTTAAATGAACACAAAATAACAATTTAAAAACAGTAATAATAATGCAATTCTCATGATGGTTTCTCTGGTACATTTTCCACATCTATTTCACTACTTAAATTTCACCACACATAGTAAGAAAGGCCAGCCATGGAGTTAAGAAGGAGCTATCTAACATCTGTGGTTTCTATAACCTACTCCTGCCTGTACCAGCCAGCTCTGCTGAGGTAAAGAGAGGATTCAGCAAGATGAAGATGATCAAGACCAATTTGAGATCTTGTCTGGGAGCTGACAGGATTACTGATCAGCTTATGGCTATGCTCCACTCACCTTCAACAAGTAACTTTGATCCCATAACAGCTATCCATCTTTGACACTCAGGGTCACTTCACACAAGAAGACAAAATGCTGGCAGGGTTCAGATTGAGAAGTGGGTGCTGGAGAGTGACAAATGGATGTTGAACATCATTGGACACTGATGCATACTATATTTCCTTTCATTTATTTAATTAAAATAGGGACTAAGTTTAATTCATCACCACCTAAGCCATCTTAGAGCTATTTGCATGTTTTCTATATGTTGCTAATTTGAGTTTTATTTATTACAAATTCAAATTCATGAACAATCGCTGACGCAACAATAGTCACGTGACTACTATGACGCAACGTTTCTAGAACTTTGTCGAATGTTCAAGTTCTTACTAGAAATAGGTTACGCTGGTATATAAAAGAGGGGAATGTAATGTGTGTGTAGATAGTGAGTAATTGAACTGCAGTCACACGGTATTGTTGAAGTTAACGTTCGTTCGTTACAGTGTTGTTTTAGCGCGAGTATTGAGATTAAGTGTATCGCAGAGTTATATTCGGAAAGAATAAACCAGTTTTATTAAGTAAAGACTTGTGTCGTTAAAGTTTCGTTGGAACAAAGTTACGGAAAGTTAATTAACAAACGGAGACGTAACAATATCAATAACAGCTAATTATAGTATTATAACTATTTTTCTGATTCTTATTTTATCTAAGCATATTCAAATGCATATTAGATTTAGAGCTATTTTATTCTTATCCTGAAATTTCTGCTGCTATAAACAAAATAAATACAATTAAAAATAGTCTTGAACAATGAACTGAATGGGTGCTTTCTGAACTTCAGAATTAAAATTGTAAATATATAAGTGATTATTAATTCCACTCACAATACTAAGGCTTTGAACTGAAAAAGCCAATGGCATAAGAACAACATAAGTATGTTTTGGAGAAGAAGAGAAAAATAGTGAACAAACTGATTTTAAGCCTACAAATGTTAGTAACTATTGTTTTCAGAACTGGTTTAAAAGTGCTACTAACCCCAGAGATGAATCTAATAGATATGATCTTTTATGAACTAATTATGAAACATACAAATTTCAGCACTAAAAAAACAACTGAAGCATACAATATTGTTGCGTCAGCGAGATCACGTGACTATTGTCACGCTACCTATTTTCTAGAACTATCCCGTTCCTTCGGGAGTG